TATTGTCGTCGGAGTTATCAACTTTTTCCTTTTTTTCTATCACATGAGATATCTCATGCAATAAATATAAATAAATAAATAAATATATATATATATAGTGAAATTAGCTGCAATATATCTATTGCGGTGTTCAATACTTTCCTTTTACTGAAAGGTTTTTTTTAAGGAGAGATCATATGCGTCAATACTGGCTATTTTTTCTTATTTTATGTACAGCTTCTGCCTTTATTGTATTTATGCTGAAATCGAATGAAATTCTAAGTAGCGTATGGATGGGAGATTACCAAGTTGTGGTAGGTTCATGAATGTCTCAAAAGTGCACGCACTTTCAGAACATGAACATTTTCAGATGAATTGTTCGGTGCTCCTAGGAACGATCAATCCACCTTTTCAAGCTCTTTTAATCGACACACATATCCTGCAAAACTTAGGGGAAAACATGTGCAAGCAAAGGCAGAAGGTGCGATTAGCAGTCAATGTGGAACTTCTGAAACCAGTACGTAAAAAGGATTATAAGGAGTACGATATTGTATACTACCAGAACTTCTCCGACAGAGACTTTCTCAGAGTTTACGATCACGAGGCAACGAGAATCATCCCAAAGTATGATGTCCAGTTCCACCTCTTCTCAAAACATAAGAAGGAAGTTGTAATCACAATTGGTTAAATTTCCAGGATTTCTCTCAACATCAGTGGGAATCTCTCCGTTCCTGATAATGTGATGATGTTTCTTGAAGCTTGGAAGAGATCGAAGTTTATCGACTGTCTTGGTCTAAATATGAAAAGGCAATCGGCTGCAAAACCATATCTGCCTGTTGAGAAAAGTGTACAAGTAATGTCATCATTGATGAGATATCTCATCACTTTCGACGTCTATCCGTTCCTGTTTTGTGGTTCTTTGCTAGGTGAGTCAATGGAGAAAACGCGCATTGCCATCTTTTCGTAGGAACAGGAACATTTTGCAACTGCCAAAAGCAAAGAATCCCAGGTGAGATGCATGGGAGATTAACATTTTCACTCTTCCTGGCACGCTTGAGGCTTACGTAGAGGGCATATCTGTTCTAGCCGCATTGACTATGAGGACTGCACAATTCCAAGCTGACCCCTGCTCCAAGAATTTCCTTTTCTTCTCTCTCACCAGAGGACCTAATGAGGCTTCAAAAGAGTAAGAGAACTGAATGGAACACATATTCATTTAGACTCAATTTGCGCAAGAACCTCTAATGATCCCCCACTAAGAAAGCGGAACCCATGAGCTCAGCCTGCCTGCATTACGAAAAGCATGTGAGGAACAACTTTTTATATTAAAGTGGAAGCATCGCGTTTTAAGAGAATATGACATCACTAAGGTCCATGCAAGCCTACTTATCGTGGGTGAATCCTTGATTCTTCTGAACGGTCATTAGCCTTTTGAAAGTGCACCTTCTGCAAGAAGATCATGGTTTTGCCACAACGGATGTAAGTCCCGTATGAAAAAACAGGCTGAAATCAGTAGCGAGGGAGACAGTCTAATGGCCCCACATATTCTTGAAAATCACAAGCTAATGTTAGGTATTCGCAGCTTGCGGTTTCACTATGTACGGTAGAAGTCATTAGCTATTGATAGATATAATGGTACAGAAGTTATCCGCCTGCCAAAGGCGTTCCTCACTAAGTTGGTTTACTGCAGGGGAGAGTTGCTTCTTCCTGGACCATCTCCTTACTACTAGCGCCTTAATGAGTTTTCTATATCAATTCATAACATTGAAGTTTTCTCGGACCTTCAGGCCGACAAATCGGCAAAGGACTCGGCACACAGTGTTACTGTAGCTAGCGTATACAGTGAATCATTTTATGCTATACATAAGCTTTATGCCACGTTTCATTAGATAGATATCAACTCGAAAATTGTTTACTAATGAAAAACAGACCTTTATCTCTCTCGAGAAATGCGGAATCCGTAAAATAAACATAGCAAGTATAAATATGATTGTACAGGGTGGTATCGTGAGTGCAACATTATTCCGCATACGATGGATATTGATTTTGCTGCTCCGATTGAAGAATACACACCGAAACTTCTAGAGGATCTAGCTTCAGGAGGGAAATTTTTCCTTCACAGAAAGTTTGGACTGGTGAGTTTATCGCAACACTTCTATCCAAAAGTGTTCCAAGGAGAGCAGAATTGAATTGCTGCATGTCCTTTTCAAGATTGTTGTTGGAATCTCAGCAATTTTAGATACATATGTGGAAGCCATCATGGTTGCATCATCAATGAAAATAAATGGTAGCATGGCTTCTAACTTTTCGATTAAGCAAGGGTACTGACGGGAAGTAAGCAAATTATCGTCATGATAAGGACACAGTCGTTTGGCTCTGTGGTAGAGAGCTATAATATTCCAATTTCATTTGTAAAAGCAATAAAACATTATGTAACATGCCGAAAACCGGACGCGAGATTTTTTGGATTCCGAGTGAAGGTTGCTCAAAGGCATAGTGCACGATAATTATGAGACACCCTTCTGAGGATGGAAAGCGGAAGTGTTGAAGGAAAAAGGCTAGAAAGTCCGTCGACTTCGCGAAGNCTACCTGTAAGTAGTGGGAATTTAGAATGTACGAGATTGCCATGATAGAATTGGCATGGGAGGGGTGTTTGGACGAGATTTCAGTTGTTGCAGTTGCGTGAGGAGCTGACTACATTGAGCCAAAAATGTCCGGATGTCCAGAACTGCCTTACTCTGCCGCCATGGGTCATAACCAACTGTTTGATTTTCCAACATGGGGGCTCTTGCGAATAGTGCAGCCTCTACAAATCTGTCGAACTCGTTCTTTGGGGGGTGGCATACACCTGATTCGATCTTTGAGTCGTTGAAACTCCCTATAGGCCGTTTTCTATGTGACAGTGGGGGCCACAGATTAGTCCTTGAGGACCTCTAAGAAACATTCACAAACCGTACGGATCAGAAATTGTGCCCTTAAGAAACATTTTTGTCGCAGATGTGCAAGTAGTACAACGCAATGCAATGGGGAAATATTCAGGACCAGAATTTTCAACTAGTCAGCACCTTCCCGGTAATACTGAGCAGCTATTTTGATTTTCTGTTTGTACGCCATTCCCCAAACCTTCACTTTTCCTTTAACATTCTGAAGCTACAACTACACCGCTCACCGATAACTACATAGTATCGCATTAGGCAGTGGGCTGAAGTTGAATGTGGTGAAATAGTTCCACAGAATGAAATAGCTGGGCTATACGGGTCCGGAATCTTGTCCCCGAAAATGGCGTCGCGCACGCCGCACCCGCCGCGTATCGCAGGATTGCGATGGGATATTGGAGCGCGCAATTCGTGATGTAGAGAGTCCTTCAATTATTTGAATTGCCTGGTCGCTTCCTTCAATTCCAGCAGTCTTGATTGTCGCTAGTATAGGGGAAGTCATTCAAATTGATCAAGTCTAATAAACATAAAAACGAAAGGAAAACAGAAAAAAACGATCAAAA